AAAAAACGAGCCCGTTTTTTGTCAAAAAAAAAAAAAAAAAGACATTAGGAAGCTTATAGAGTGCTCCTGGGGGCGGCAAAATTGAACATTGATAAACAGCTCCTGCTTACGAGGAAGGGAAAGTCTCTTTTTTGCTCATTTCTCCCTCCCCAGCCCCCAGGAGGTCTCTGAAAGCCTCCTACAAGCTATGAACAGCCATTTTGGTGAAGGGACGGGGTTTCGGGAAGCAAAAAACCCTGTATTCAGTGTATAAGACGCACCCAGATTTTCAGTCTCTTTTTTGAGGGAAAAAGGTACATATATATATACTCAGAAAAATACAGTACTTATCGATCAAGAGTGAAAGACCAACCCCTCAGAGGCTTTCTGAAGAAGCAAAATGCAAGGGGACATCAATTTTAAAAATAACCATTTACTAACCATCAGCTGCTTTTGTTTTAATGGAGTGGTTGCTTGCATTTTGTTCCCTTCCCCAAAGTGGCAAATGAACACAGGAATGACACACAACATCAAGCAGAAGAATTGGGGGGGGGGGGGGGGAAGAGAAACATAAATGAGCACTCACTTGTGGTGCCTTATCTGCTGTATTGAAAACCTCTTGGCTGGGTCGTATTCAAGCATTCCTGGAAAGGAAGAAAAACAGGGTGGAGACTAGATCAGTTGGGAACTGAGGCACAAACAACTGCTTAAAAGGGGGCTCAAAGTCCTCCCCCTCCCTCTAAGTAACATGAAAGAGTAGCTGACCGAAGGAATAGATCAGACATCCAGCCCTTGCTTATCAATGAAGACCAAGTGGAGCAACTGGCCAGTTTTAAGTTTCTGGATGTTATCATAAAAGAGGACCTGACCTGGGGCAACTCACATTGCAGCACTGGTCAAAAGGGCCCAGCAGAGAATATACTACCTGGACTTCTCGGGAAACAACCACCGAATGAAAAAACGGCTGGTGACCTTCTAACGCTGCACCATAGAGAGTATTTTAACTTACTGCGCCAGAGTACGGTTTGCCAATTGCACAGTGGCAGATAAGGCAGCGCTCCAGAGGGTCAACGTCATTGCCCAGAGAGTTGCCCTCTCCCCTCTTTGGAAGAACTTTATAGCTCCCNAAATTTTGATGGTTATTGCACAGAGATATTTGTACCCAGATGACACACTGTTTAAGGAAAGATGGAATGTTTATATTTAAAAAATAAAATGAAAACTTTTTATTAAAAAAAGAAATAAGGAAAGAAAAAGAAAAACCATTCAAGGCCTCGCCCATCATGATGGAGCCAGACAGCTACAGGTATGACTTACGATCACAATGGCGCTCAAAATTTCTTTCGCTAAGCGAGACAGTTGTTAAGTGAGTTTTGCCCCATGTTACGACCTTTCTTGCCACAGCTGTTCAGGGAATCACTACAGTGATTTAAGTTAGTAACATGGTTCTTAAGTGAATCTGGCTTCTCCAGCAGGTCCCAAAAGGGGATCATGGGACTCCAGGACACTGCAACCGTCATAAATGTGAGTCAGCTGTCAAGCAGCCGAATATAAATCATGTGCTCATCAATGGTTCTAAGGGCGAAAAATGGTCCTAAACCACTTCAAACGGTCGGTAAACGAACTGTTGTAAGTCAAGGACTACTACCTGCACTTAAACCTGTATCGTTCAAGGAAGGTCTGGCTATGCAGACATCAGCCAAGATGAGAAAGAACCGGAATTCTTCATTATTATCATCGCCTCCTATGAGGTCAGTGTGCCCCCAGCTGGAGGGAAGGGTCAGTTACAGAAGCACCCAGGCCTGGGTCAGGGAATGAAGGATTACTTAGGAATAATCCTTGCGGAAGATCTCCCCTTAAGCCTCTGATTCATTTGATGTAATTTGTTGAACTTTTGGCTCCCTTTCAAATCTTGCCAATCTTTAGCTGGGATTTCTTCAAAATAAGAAGAGAGGCCCGAAAGAAATAAGACGAATATACGGTCATCCAAAGCTTTGCACCTTAAAGCAGGCTTTAATTTTGAGAGAGAGAGAGAGAGAAGAGAGAGAGACAGAGAGACAGAGAGAAGAGTCAAAGAGAGAAGAGTCAGAGAGAGACACACAGACACACACACAAAGAGACAGAGATATATCTCTGGGCTTTCTCCTCTATAAGGTTCACCATCAGTGAAAGCCGGGGAGCCATGTTATATTGAATAAAGCCAATTGGCCATGAATGGGGACCACTTTGACGGCAGGTTCTTTATCAAGACAGCTGTGGTTGTGTAGCGTGTGGCAACATAAAAGAAGAATCTCTGGCTTGCTTGTAATTGGCTTTTGGACACTTCCTTGAAGAGCAAAAGCACAGGAAGCCACAGAATGGCCTGAGTTCATGCAGCGCAGTAGGCCTGGCAACAGGCTCATATTTATGACGGTTGCCGTGTCCTGCCGGGGTCGTCCGATCATCCTTTCTTATGATGGAACAAAATCAATGGGGGAGCCGGATTCACTTAACAACCATGTTACTAACTTAACTGCAGTGATTCCCTTAACAACTGTGGCAAGAAAGGTCTTAAATAGCTGTCTTGCTCAGCCACGGAAATTTGGGGGTCAGTTGTGGTTGTAAATCAAAGACTACCTGTATTGTGTGAATCCAACCACGTAGGATTCATTCAGCCTTCCAGTGTAGGGTGTCCACAACTTACACCCACAATCAGGACCAGAATTCCGGTTGCCAATCAAGGCGGTCGTTAAGGGACTTTGTCTGATTTTATGACCTTTTTTTTTGTGGCCATGGTTGTTAAGCCAATCACTGAATCATGTGGTCGTTTAGTGAATCTGGCTTTCCTCCCCACTGATTTGGCTTGTAAGAAGCCAGCTGGGAAGGTCGCAAATGGCAATCACATGACCCTGGGAGGCGGCAATACCTGCTGATTGCCACGCACCTGGATTTTGATCATGTGACTGTGGAGATGCTGCAGCGGTTATAAGTGCATGGACCAGTTGCAAGTCCCTTTTCTCAGGGCCTGTGACTTCCAATAGTCGCTAAATGAATGGTTGTAAATAGAGGACTGCTGTACTTATATGAGGCAAATAGTTATTACATCTATGATCTTAACAAAGCAAATGGGCTCATATAAATTTTAAGGGATGTGGTGGCTCAGTGGCTAAGATGCTGAGCTTGTTGATCAGAAAGTTCAGCGGTTCGAATCCCTAGCGCTGTGTAACCGAGTGAGCTCCCGTTACTTGTCCCAGCTTCTGCCAACCTAGCAGTTCAAAAGCACGTAAAAATGCAAGTATGCTCTACATGGGGCTGCCCTTGAAGAGCATCCGGCGACTTCAGCTAGTCCAGAATGCGGCCGCGCGAGTGATAGTGGGCGCACC